TACCCTGGTGATCTAGGTACCAAGTCCGATGTCATCCACAAGGCTAACGAAGCACCATAATTTAAACTTTCTCACGATCGCTGAGGTTAGTTAGCTGCAGATACTTGATCCGGCCTGGCCCATTAGTGACCATCGGCACCCGTGCCACTCCCCGCCTCACACAAAGGTTAGCCTCAGGTGGGCCAACCCCAACACGGACATCAGTCGATTTGCCAACTGGTATGACCACATGTTGATCATTCAGGTTGATCGCCTGTATAATCGATCGGTAAGGCGGGTTTCGCCCTGCTAGACCAATCCGCACCTCGTCCGGTAGACATAATGTCCCGTCAGCTAAGTCCAAACGGATACCCGCTGAACCCATGAAATCCATACCCAATATAATTTCCTGGCCCACTTGATCGCCCACCAAAACATCGAAATGTTAAACTAACGATCCGTCCAGAGTAATCTTAATCTTCATCCGCCCCGTCGTCATTTATGTATTCTCTCCAATTCCGACACACTCTTGCGTTCGCAAGCTGTCGATCACACATCCTTCCTTAGGAGCAAAGGTAGTATTGAGGATCGACACTTCAGTGCCAGAGTCGAACAGCATCGTGTCTTTCTCATTGTTGATCTTGCCAATCGCATCAGCTTGCTTGAACCATATTCGGGGGGGGGGTACTTCCTATACTCGCGCAATTCCCCTTATGCGAGGTCGAGCTTCATCCTCACAGGCGATCGAGCGTAATCATTCACTCTTTTCAAACTTGATTTTGGCGAGACCAATGTAGAATCGTCATGTAAATTAGCGATCGGGCAGACCCGATCGAGAACTTCTTGATATCTTTGCGGACCTTCAACAAACGCATACATGCAGATCCTAGGACGCTCGGCTCGTGCCAGATTCCAACCAGGCGAGCATTCTAGTTTAGCATCTCCTCTGACTTGGGTGGAAACTTTACAGCTTGTTTCGTTGGCACGTACCATTTTTGAATCAAGTTAAAGAATTTCTTCATTGGAAACTTGCCAATTTAATGTATCTCCCCGCAGGCTGCACACACAACGAAACATTTGTTCGAGGGATGACCCTTGCGAGCACACTTCTGGTATGTCAGCCACTTCCAACACCCTCGATCATCGTGTCTGGTAGACACACAATGGGTACACGCCTTCGATCGTCCACTGCGATTGCGCCCTTCTCCTTCACCAGTGTCCTTCTGCCGGGTACGCTGATTCTTGTTCGGTTGATCTTGATCGGGTGTAGTCGTTGCACAAACACGACGACGATCCAATTCGTCTTCGGATCCAGTCCACTCCAATTACGATCCGCCTTTTTCAACCTTCTCTCGGATCGCTGGCACTGCCCTAGCCGTCTTGGACGCCATTGTATTCAAAGGTGCGATCGCTCGCTGTTGGAATTTGTTCGATCCCATCGACCCCTTCATTGACGATTCTACATTTGTTGACACGCACGGAGATTTTTTTCGTCTCCTCAATATCTATCAATCGCAGTAGGGTCAGTTGTTTCGCCAAGTAGCGATACTTAAGCGTAGCAATCAAATGATCCACATGTTCGCAGTGCGTGGCGGCCGTAGTCGCTTTCTCTTCTTTAATCGCGATCTTGGCATTCTTAGCTGCGACATTAAAACGATGCAAGTATTTTACCGGGGTTTAATCGGATCGCTTCCGCGAGAGGTAAAACTGCCTGGCCACTGACACACCTTGTACTCTATACTGTACCATTAAATAATCCAGCAATCGCTTCCAGTTGCATTGTGTGGATTGGTTTAGTTGGTTGTATCAGTTTCGAGCGGGTCCCGTCAACAGGTCGCCGAACACCAAGGACTTCTCTTCATCCGGTGCTTGATCGCGAAAAAATGCCGACTTGACCTTGCTACTCCAGCTTCGATCTCGATCTTCGTCTCAATCTTTTCCACTGAATTCCTTCAGCTCCGTGATTGCTGACACTCGAATGCGCTGGGGAACTGCATCAACCTTCTTCAACGTCTTTGTTGTGGCCACCATCGCACGTTGCCGGTCACCTTGGCCCGATTCGTCAATATTAGCATCTTCTGGATTGAGGAAATCCGATCGACTGATATGCGATCGCACCGATTCTATCTCGACATCCGGTGTATATGACTCGCGAATTTTTGCAGGCTTGATCCTTTGACTTGGGTAGATCGCTTGATACACCAGTTCCCGCAGATTTTGGTTTAAGCATTCCATGGCTTCAGTGAGGTAGCTCTGCAGGTTACCTTGCATCGGTGGCGTCATTTGTCCATTTGCGCCTATGATCGTCGATCGCGATTCCACCTTAATCCTCTTAACCCGATCACGCAGATGTGCTACTGAACTTGGGCTCAGAGACATCCTCTAAATTTAGAACGAATCTTTCGATTCTATCTCGGATTCCGCCGATACGTACTGCGACGATCCAGTATGGTTTCCCCTCGGGACGTCAGCGATCGCGTATACATCTTCTCTCTGTGGTTTCGCACCTCCCCTTAAGGTTTTTTTTTCAATCAATTTGTCATACAGTGATTGACACGCGTGGACCACTTGATCTTGATCTTACTTTATCAGCTTCTGCTCATCGAACACCCCAGCGACGTATTTAACGTCTTGTAGTAGCTTGATGATTGCGTTATACCATCCAGCGGGTTCGTTGCCGCTTTCGGTGGGGATATCGGACCTTGAATTTTTATGATCTGTTTGGGCTTCAGTATATCGAGCACTGAATCGTTTAATAGCAGATTCGTGAGCGCCTATCAGTGATATCTCTGCGCCAATCAATCCAACTGCCAGCCTTCCATCTTCAAATCCAGAGCATTATCCGCGAACTTATCGGTCGCTCGATTGATTTTGCGCTGCGATCGTGACGATCCGATCTGGACTCGTCTTTCTTCACTCGATCTGTCTTCCCAATCTTCTTCTTCGACATTGCCTGAGCAGTCCTGTGTAGTTTTTGTTCATTTTTCGCTGAAGGGTTTTCACTCAGCGGATCGAGTTTTGCAGCACGATCCGCGGTGGTCCCCGAAGGAAACCAAGGAGGGGGTTTAGCTCCATCTTCCAGATCGTAAGTTCGATCTTTCTCTTTGTTTTTCTTGTCATCAGAGCCCCTCCTAAAACTATGACGTCCTGGAAATCTTATGCGTCCTTGGCCATCCCTCTGCCTCGTACGCTTCCATTCCAGGTTCAATCTTGACCTTCTCATCTTCACTCAGGGAATCACGGTTAAATCCCGAGTCACCAGAAAATCCGGAAACGCGCATTATTGTGGTGGAGTGGCGATCGCTTATTTTATGAGGCGATCCCGGCTCTCCACTGGTGCCCAGACGACCGAATATCGGAAGGAGAACTCCGTTTTCGTGTCTTGTTATTCTTTCCTCACCTTGTGAACCCGTCTGTAGGGTGGTCTGCACTCTTCTCGGTGGACTTGTGTCGATAGAAAGCTTGACCGTGTTGAAATGGGTTGGAGTGATCGGGCGGAAATCTTCGTGCGATCACGGGCTACGTGTGGGGTGTTTAGTATATGTGGTGGAGTGACGATCGCTCATTTTCTGAGACGATCTCGACTTTCCACTGGCTCCCAGACGACCGACTAACGGAGGGGGTACACCGATTTCGTGTTCTGTATGCTCTTGCTCAGCTTGTGTACCTGTCGGTTTGGCGGGTTGCGCTCTTCTTGGTGGACTTGAGCTGAATCTAACTTGATTTTCTTGGGATAGGTGTTGATCAGGTGGAAATACTTCACCCGGTAAGCGCAGGTGCGGATCGCGTGGAAATTCTCCACTCGATTGCTTGTAACTTGGGCGCTCTCCCAGAGTCGCCTTTGCCAGGGGTGATGCTTGCTACGCGAGCCTTCTGACCACTTGAGCCGTCTCGCGATCTTTAATCTGAACCGTAAGGTTCACTGCGTGTTATCGCAGTTGAGGAGGGGGTGAGAATTGACCTTCCGCCTGGCCAAACAATCTAAGGGCGAAGTTCACTTCAGACGTGGGTGACTCTATTCAAAGGGAGGCCAAAGATACTGCCCGGAAGAAGTCGACGCGGGTCTTTTGCTGCAAATTCAATTATGTTTAATGACGACCAAACAAACCGAAAACTTATGAATTTGCCTATCTGTTTGCTAGTTCGGCTGTCAATGTCATTTGCCTCTCACATCCTGTGGTCCACAGCAGATAATCCATAGTGGATCGCCCCATACCGGATCTTACAGTTCCTGATCGTAGGGTACCGGATCGCGGTATGCGATCCACGGCGGGTACGTAATCTCCCTCGATCATCATGAAACACTCCGCTTTACCTTAACCCCTTCGTGACCGTTAAGTGGGTTACTCTGCATAATTTCCACAGTCATTTTTTTTTCTGTCACTCAGCCGTGTGACACCATCATCCGTGTTAACCGGCCCATCTCCGTACGCGCTCCACCAATCAAACTGGTTTTCGTACTTAAGGCGGAACGCGCGATCCACACTACCGTCACTCTTCCTTCGCGCTTCGCCACAATCGTCCCCTGCACCGACCCTCGATATACAGTATCGATGGACGGTGCCTCCACAACGCCCATGGCTCCTGCATCACCTGCACCTCCCACATTGGAGGCCGATAGCCCGATTCCGCCTTCTACTCCGCCGCCGGGTCCACCCGTTAGAAGGTCAGTTGTGTTGCCGTCGTCTCGAATGAGCGCTGCATCCTTTTTGAATTGTGATACTTTGACTGCGGGGATCGCAGCGCTCTACGGTCAACTGGATCTTCATGCCGCGGTTGTTGCCGACTACCACTCGTTGGAAGTGTTATGTCGGGACCAGAATCTGCAGATCGACCGACTGCAAACGCAGTTGCAATCGTACGTCAAGATTGCCCCGCGCTTGGCAACCTATGTCTAACAGCGTTATCTCGGCCTCTGTACGGATCGCCAAGACAGATCCGAGCGTTTGCACGGGTTTTAGACGGAGCTGGCGCGGCGCTTGGGTCAAAATCACGTGGTCCGAGAACTCAAGACGGCTCTCTCAGAAGCCGAAAAGACGTCTAAACAAGTTGAGGATCTGCGCACTCGTGAATCGTGCGTCGCGTAACAGCAAGTGGAAGCGATAACTTCGCGCTTGGCTGCTGCGGAACAGAATTCGGGCGGCGATCTCCAAGCTGCGACAGCCAAGATATCCAAGTACAAGAATCTCTTCCACAGAGTTGACAAGAAGCTTGACACGACCAGACTGGCGTTGGAAGACATGTCGAAGACCCATCAAGACTGCCTCCGTGAACAAGAGCTTGTAGAAGCGGAGCTGCAACGGCTGCAACCGGACCTCGTGGACTGGAACTCCCACGTGGATCGTCTGCGTATTCAAGCATCGAACTGAAAACAGCATTATCTCTTGGCCACTCGCGATCGAGACACGATCCGGACTCATCTGGCTCAATTGGCTTCTGGATCACTCCGCCTTCCCTCAAATGTACCGTCCATGGCCTCCGCTCCTGCAGAAACCGGCAAGCAATCTATGTACACGGATCCCGGTGTCCCGATCAAGCGTCCGCGCACTGCGAAGCTGACGCAGGCCGGAACAGAATTGGTGGATACCTCGAAGGCCAAGTCAGCCAGTGAGTCCGCGATCTACTGGAACAGGGCGATCTGCCAAATCTTCCGGATCTAATGGAAAAACACGCGTCTCTACGCGACCCTCCAGATCAACTTGCTCGGACGGGTCCACAGCTACGTCAGGATTAGCACAGACTTCAACAACTCAAGGAACCGCAGGTATAAAACGATCCCCCTCCCAAACAGGAAATAAACGGACCCAGAAGCTTCCGGTCAGCGTCCCATCGCTCTCCGATACAGAGGAGTTTAATTTTTCTGAAGAACATATTCTGGCCGCCTTGTCTGGATCGCGCTCTTCGTTGCGGCGCCGTGGATCGTTGAGCAATGTTCCACCTTCTGACGGATCGGCACCTGCCTCAATTTCAGTGGCCTCCCCCCGCCCCAAGTCTGGGTCGTCTGCACTTCTAAATGAATCAGCACCACCTGCCAAACCCCGAGTCTTGAAGGTGAATATCTGTGGCGAAGCATCAAACGACTCCGACGGATCGGTCAGCATGATCGGCTGTCCGCAAGACGCCGAGAATGCCATGCTTCCGCCCGCGGAATGCGACCGTTTAGCTCCGACCCGGGTACCTCGCGCTGAGTGGTTCCCGGAAACCGCGATCGGGTACCCTGGTCTCACTCCACGTACACCCGTGGTCGGTCCGTCGTCTCATCCTGACCTCCGTGGCGGGGATGGACTTGGATACCTTGTTCAAGCACCTGACACGGCCGGCAGAGTACATCTTCTTAGCATCCACCGCGTCTCGATCTATAGCTGCTCCGCCTAAATCTGAGTGGATTCCACGGCTGGTTACTTCGGTTCAAGTGTTATCGTTGTAGCAGCAAGAGCCTTGGACCTAATGCAACAGCCAAGGAAGACCGGTTTCGTTTCACGCGATTGAATGGTTCGCAGAGTTGGCATCCGCGTACCGAGAATTCGAGACCCAGAATCGACAGGCTTTGTGGGAAGCAACCCACGCCATTTTTTTGCCGGCCAAGCAGCGCGATAGGGATCCGGAGTTGACGCGGATTTACCAGCAACGCAAACAGCGGCGATCGCGATGCGGATTCCGATGGAAAACGGTATTGCGTCTGATCGTTCAGGGGATGATCGACGGACACTGCAATTTGAATCTGATCTTATGTCCGTTCATGATGCATCACCCGTCACCGGTCGAGATGCGCCCATGGTACCCGGTTTTGTGCGATTCTCAGAAAAACATTCCCAACCTGATCTCCGCGTTGACAAGTTTGGATACAGCTGAACCCTGGCGCAACCAGTTTCGATCCTGCGTTGAGGATCATCCCTGGTCGTCGATCGCTCGCTTGTCGGGTAAATATTTTTGTAAATATTTCATAGCGATCTGACAGTCTGTTTTGATCGGTCAATGCACATCCATCTTTTTCTTCCTTGTTATTTATCACATGACTTCATCTCATTTGCCTTTTCTAATTTCTCACTCCGATCGGGTTTGATTCCCTGAATCGCCACACACAACCCCTCTTTTTGTTCCCATCTGCAACCTTTTTGCAGGCAGCTTCCGATTCGACACATCATTTATTCAACCACCGCTGCTTCGTGTGCTTGCAACACCTCGAAGCGATTCTTGCTGACTCGATCACGATCGAAGTCTTGCAGCAAGGCCCCACAGTGCAAGTCGAACTCACCTATCCAAGTCGGATTGACCGATCCCTTCCATTGCACCAAATACTGGCGCTGCACTCTGCCAAAACGGTTCCGTCTACCAGATCGCACATCCAATATCTTCTCGACTTCAAATGCATCTTCATCCAATGTGCGTTCCCAGCTATCTTCCGGCAGTAGGGATTATCATCCCAATCCTTCTTATCCTTATCTGTAACGTACATCTTCAACGCCCTCGTCAAGGTCTGCACCATTCTTTCTGCTGTTCAATCGCCTGGGGTTGGTGTGCCATAGTATCACGCTGTTTCTACCCCGCGATCCGGTTGAACGCTCGAAAAAAAGTCGGACATGAATCCAGGTTCTCGATAATGGCGGATAGCTTCACTGGCCAAAGCTTCGGAACACACAGTCTTTGTAACTTTCGGCGATCAATTGAGCAGTTCTTAAGAGACACTCAACTTGGCAATTACATACCCTAAGAACAAATTTACCTACATCAACAATTCAGTGTTTCCCATGAAAGATCACGGCAATGATGGAATGTGATCCATAGCGATTATCTGAAGCGGATAGGTAATTTGGACATTCCCCGGCAATTCGCCGCGCAGGACAGGTTAACCTTTTCCCGTCGTGCAACAAACACACCCTCCCACATAACGCCGGACACTACGATAGAGTCCTCTCCAGTGGAACTTGGACTGGATTTGTTGGTATTTTCTACTGAAACGTTGATTTCCACCTTTAAAACTTGCGTGATAATGATGCAGGAAATTTTGCTACCGTAGTTCCGGTACCACCAAACGAATTAATTCCACGCGGCTATCTGGATCTTCCGTCCATTGCAGGCAGAAAAACAGTAGTTCGCTTTCGTCAACTTCATAATCGAGCGCGATCCAAGCACATGACTTTGCTTCTTCAATACTCAACTTCTTTATGTCTCCGATCAAGAATTCCTTCAGGATGGCAATCTAACTCTCTTCTTCTTGTGCTTGCTCGATCCCCTCGATTCTGATCCTCTAAATGACTTCCTCTTGCAGTACTTCAGGCGATTGTTGTCTCCTTACGGCTGATACAGCAACGGCAGATAGTTTCACGACCCGATCGACACTTTTGGGTGTCAATAACTCGTCCAACCGGTTCAATTAATGTAAATTCTGACAATCTTGATCGGATACAGTCATCGTACATTTCTCTTGTTGTAAAGCGTTGCTTGCCAGTCGACCGGCGCTCTGATTCCAGCCCTTTTTCATGTGTAAAAATATATGGATCGGCCACGATCGGAGTTTTTCCATAGCTTTGTGACGTAGCAGCTGTAATCCGGGCGCCTTGCGGTCAATTTATCCGCGCATCTGCCGGATCACTAAGTTAAAATTGCCGCAAATATTGATGCGCCCCCGCGTCTGATCGGCCAGGAGATCGATCCCTAGTAGCAGGCCACGATATTCGGCTTCGTTTACTGTCAGGTCTGTTGCGTATTCGGCTGCGAAATTCACGATCTTCCATTTCGGGAGTGTCCACACTATTGCATTATACGCTTCGCCTTTTCGTTTGGTTCGGGACAATCCATTTAAACTGACTACCAAAAGGCTTTCACCCTCTTCCAGCGTTGGTGGTGGTATACTTATGGTATATTTCGGCTGTTTCCTCGGGGCGATCGCGATCAACCTCTCGTCAACACCTTCGCGCGGGGTAATGCTGGTGGCAAGCGTACCAAGTATTTTATCTTCTCCCTTTTCATACTTCTTGATCTCCAGCGTCAAATTTAATAGCAACGCCGTCCATCTCCCCAGCCTCCCATTAATGCCTGAAGATTGTACCAGCCAGGCCAACGTTGAAAGACGTGTGAGTACCTTGATCTCTCGTGCAACTAACATTGTGTAGCCGATATCTAGGATGCGCAAACAGAGCTAAAACTTCTTTCTCCACAATTTAATAGTTAATCTCGTTAGGTTTTAGCGTTCTGCTAGTGAACGTTACAGGCCAGTATGCTCCATCGTGTCCTGTAGCAAAGCTGCAGATACTGCCCATTTGCTAGTATAGACTACGATCACTGGAGGGCGATCCGGATCAAAATGTTCGAAAATTGGAGTCTTAGCGATCTTATCCTTCAACGTAGTGAATAAAATCATCGCCTTCTCCCATCGACTTCTGTCTGTGCAGGTAGGATCACCCCCAGCAACACCGAAAAACGCTGGGTCTCCCCCTGTAACACTGTTACGGTTCGAATCGCCCCCAGCAACACCGAAAAACGCTGGGTCTCCCCCTGTAACACTGTTACGGTTCAAATCGCCCCCAGCAGCACCGGAAAACGCTGGATCGCCCCCTGTAACATTGTTACGGTATGGATCGTGATCACCAAGACACTTCCTGTCGTCAGCTCTCTTTCCATTCCGTGTTGACGATTCCGCCTTATCCATTCGTCGAATCACGTGGAAGTCGGCTTCGCGTAATTCGTACAGCCTGATGCATATATCGCAAAGTCTTCAGTGAAAAGGCTACAATATTCTAAACTCCCTATGAACGACTGCATCGACTGCAGCGTTCGAGAAAACGTAATGTTGACCAGCGATCCGAGATCCTTCGGGTGGGCTTCCAATTCAGCGAGTGGTACTTGATGACCGATATAGTCCACCTTGCGTCGTCCCCAGAAAATGTTGGTCAGGCTGATCGACTAATTCCACTTATCGCATGCACGTAGCAATCTATCCACTCTTTCGTACAATTCGGCCCACGATGTAGCTGAAATTAGTATGTCATCGATGTACGATCTTCGACCTAGCACAGATAGTGTCCGACTGGTGTCCGGCTCTCCTTCTGTGGCACGTCGATCTGTTTGGACTATTCCGTAGTGGAGGGGCCTGGATCAGCACCTATATTCATATATCCATACAATGCATTGTCGACCAGGCGTTGGTAAATCTGTGGAGCGTTTTTCGACCTAAACGGCATCCGTAGCCATTCATACAAGCCTGACGGCGTAATGAATGTTGAAATCCTTCTAGCTCGTTCTGTCATCTCCACCACCCAAAATACGCTTGCCGTGTCAAGTGAGCAGTACCACATCGATTTGTCCATGTCTTGTAAAAGTTCATTGATCAGTGGCATTGGGTACACCAGCAGCCTTGTCAACTGATATACCCGTCGATGGTCGTTGCACAATCGATTGTCCTTGCCATTCTTTTTGATGA